ATAAAGACGACGAATTAAGCTAAAAATTAGTGGAAATGACAGAGAATAAATATGGTGCCTTTACAGATAAGAAAGAAGCCATTAGTCTCTAGTAAACATCATCAATCATGGAAATAAGATATTTGAACATGTGAACGCCACTTAAACTAAAATTATGTTGACTACTTATTCAAACCCCTGTACACAAAATGAATCATTTTATTCTTTGTTTTTGTTTTCCTTGACGTGTCTCCAACTCATATACCTACATATATGCAATGTTAAATAGGGTCATCACGTCACGACCTGTATAGTTATTTTTGGCCTTAAACGATCGGAAACTTTACATAATTTTATATACATATTTCTCTTTTTGGGGGTTTATAATAATAATAATAATAATGGGCCTAGTTCTCATCCCTTATCGGGATAATTTTGTGCTTGCGATTATATGTTGACTCGCCATTTCAAAGTTCAAACAGTGTCTTTGCGCTTGTGTTTTTATGTGCGCTTTCGATTTTAGTTCTTATAAAATATATTTTACCCGTTTCATTTTATGTGAACCAAAATTTAGGAATTGATTGATAATTTTGGTGATAATAACATCTTGTTACAAATAGCAAATGTGAAGTTTCAAGTTAAATTATTTCCATATATAAAATAATATCATTATTTTGAAAGCTGTCAATACGTGTGGGCCCGACCTAGCGTAGTCCAGCCCACACGGGCTTTGGCATTTGACGGACTAGGGTTGGACCGCCCACTATTTCGATGGGCCTTAAAATGGTCAGCCCAGCCTAGCCCTATGTGGGTCGCGGGCCCCCACGTCCCGGTCCACCATTTTAAAAAATTATTTTTTCATATTTTTATAATTTAAGTTTTTAACCTAAAATACAAAAAATATATACATAGTTACAAGTCTAAAAACATACTTGTTGGTTAGAAAGTTTTTGCAAAACTAAAATAAGTATCTAATAGATTATTATAAAATACAAAAAGGAGGATTATAGAGAAAGTAGGACAAGTTGCCTAAAAACTTCAGCTTCTTTCCAAGCTAAAGATCCACCCTGTCAATATTTCGTTCATTAAAAGTCAATACTCAAAACAAACTACTTAATAATATTTTCAAGGTGCTCATGGCATATCCAACACCAATAAATTATCTTCATTAGGTACATTTGAATCCTCTTGTAAAATAAAGATGTCTTAAAATCTTCACTTTCATCTAAATATACAATTAAATGCAATGTTAAGTAGTTAAACATTAAAAGATAACTAAAATTTTAGGAATACAAAAAATTTACATTCACATAAAAGATATTACCAGTTTGAGATCGGACTACTCTTCTTGTTATTTTTAGTTCCCTATATATTTTTTTTATATTTTTTATATATTTAATTGAATGCATTTATTAAGCTCGTGGGCCAGTCCAGTCGAGCCTCGGTCAAGCCTCATAGGCCACGAACTTACTTGGGTCGGGCTTAAAAGCCTCATTTTTAAATGGGCTCCAAAAATCTTAGCTAACCCTATTAATTCACGGACTGGATTGGGCCAACCTAACGGTCCAAGCCCGTATTGACGGCTCTGTTATAGAAGAATTAACCCAAATAGCCACCCACCCTAACACTTCAACTAAAAATAGCCGTTATAATGTATGCATAATTTACGTATTACATGTGTATAATTAATGTACAATCTATGTATATGGTTAGAAAAAGCAAGCAATTAATATGGTCGGCTATTTGTGTAAAGATCCCTTATTGTTTGAATAAGCTAAAAAAGGAAATAATATACATAAATGAACAAATGGAGTAGGAAATAATAAGGGAGAAATTCAAAAATAGCCAGATTTATAAGTGGTCATTCAAAAATAGCCATAGTTTCAAAAGTAATCGAAATTTAGCCACTTTTCATGTAAAGATAAATCTGAACGAAAACACTGTTCAAAATCCGGAAAAATGCTCCAGTATAATATACCGGTCCAGCATAATATATTGGAGTGGAACTTTCTGCGTGTTGGATTTCCAGCATAACATACTGGAAGTTCATACACAGGTGCACCGAATCTCCACTATATTATGCTGGAACTTTCCGTGTTGCAGCAAAATAGTGGCTATTTTCAATGACTTTGCAAACACTGGCTATTTTTGAATGACCAGTCCGAAAACTGACTAGCCCGTGCTATTTATACAAATAATAACTGTAAACACGGAATATAATTCAAGGCCTTAAACTATTATTGATAATCACGTAGTCCCTTGAACTACCAATAATCGGATCCAAGCATTAGCATAGAAAAGGGTGGAAAGGTATGTTCTACTCTAGGCAACATAGATTGTGCTCTATGAAAACAAGAATTTCACTTTTCTGTTTACTTCAAAATTCAAATTGAAGATACGTAAAGAAGTTTACAGTGGGAACAACCAGTATCTTTCTAGATTATTATCGAAGTCTATGCTCGCTACATCAAATTTTTGACAAATTTTGTAAGAAACAAAAGGAAATGATTTTTTTTTTAATTATACTATTACATTATATGCTAAACTTTTTACCTCGTTTTGAGTCTAATCTTTGGACCACTTTGGCAAAAGGTACCGCAGAAGCAAAATCCAATGTGCTACGGGACATATTTGCTAATACGAACTTTAGATATCTCTCATAAGATAGCTGAGGTCCACCACATTGATTTCATAGCCCAGGTTAATAGATGGTAGTTGGGCTCCTCTTGGTCCAATGGAGTCCACTGCAATTTTTGTATTTTCCTATGCATAATATTTCTTGTTATAGGTCGGCACATTGATCATTGAAAGTATAAAAATACTACCTTAAAAAGCATCATAAATTACACTTTTGGTAATTAAGTAGGTGAAGTTGTTGAAAGTGTTGTATTTAGGAAACAAATTGACTCCACAAATGGTGATAATGTAATTATATTTGAGTTAATTCTTCTTAATTTTGGGATTGTTTGGCAAAAGAGACCCTTCCTGCTCCAAAATGAGATGGTACGTGAAAGGCCCAATTCATGAGTAAGGCCTAAGAAGACTGCAGAGTCTCAGTGAGATCATCACCAAAAATGTAGGGGGGAGGGGGACAGAAATATCCCACTGGAAAGAATATATGACCACCTCTGCCTCTAAAATATAAAATGACTATTGGTGCCCCTATATTTCCGTTTCGCTGCCCCAAGACTTCAATTTAGATACAATGCCTTTAAAAATTTACAGCAGTCCTGTTTAAAATTCATATACAGTTAGATTTCTCTATAACAGTATATACGAGCTAAATCGGGGCTAACATACACCCCGATTTCCCGGTGGATCAAACGAAGGAAGGGTACGAACACATGGGATTGAAACCGACGCTGGGAACTTCTTGTACCGAGGCCCGAACGGAGTGCTCGCCATCGGATTTGATAAAACGACGCACCTCGGACCTGGGATGGGTTCCGAGACTTTGGGAAGCGCATGAACGGTTGTAGGCGAAAGGCAGAAGGCCGTGATATCCGGAGCCAACCGGATTCACGGCGCGAATCTCGCTCGATGGCAGTTACAGATCAATAATTAATGAGAGAGGAGAATTTTTACCTTTATTAGACTTGTACAAAGGGGAGGTTTTTTCTTATAAGGGACATTGTAACACGCAAACCAAGGAATACAAATTCAGTTTCTCTGTTTTCTAGTTATTGCAAAGTTCTTATTTTACTGTAGCTCTTCATATACAATTGGCTTCGAATCGAGGGTCCGATCGAGGGCGAAACTACTGTTCAGCCTAAATCCGAGTCCGGATGTAACATCACAATTGATTTGGTTATTCATTCTGTATTTAACTCGTTAATCTAACATTCTTGATTATTTGTGTTGAATCAATACACATATCTTTAAAACCGCGTATAAATTCAACTGTTATTCGTTTTAAGGGTAAATAGGTTGGCGCCCACCGTGGGGCTAAGGATAATAGTGGTGGTTTGATACAAATTTGCATAACATACTCTATTTTACACTTGTGAGCCCGAACAGTTGCAGAATCAAGGCCACACCCCGAACAGCTGCCGAACGGACCCGGGAGAACACCCGAAGAAACGAACAAACCATTGAGAGGCCGGGAAAAGTCGAGTGTCCCGAAGTAATGAAAATACTTGACGCATTCACGAAGCGGGTGGAATCAGGTGAAAAGAAAATTGAGGCCAATGAGAAGAAGGTGGAAAAATACAATTCCAGGATCGACGAAATCCCAGGAGCACCCCCGATATTGAAGGGGCCGGATTCCAAGAAGTTTATCCAGAAGCCTTTTCCTTCGAGCGCGACACCAAAACCGATCCCTAAGAGGTTTAGTATGCCCGACATTCCAAAATATAATGGAACCACGGACCCGAATGAGCACGTGACCTCCTATACATGCGCAATAAAAGAAAACGACTTGGAAGATGATGAAATCGAGTCGGTGTTACTAAAGAAGTCCGGGGAAACTTTGTCCAAAGGAGCAATGATATAGTACCATAGCTTACTCCCAAGTTCCATTGACTCATTTGCTATGCTCGCAGATGCTTTTGTGAAGGCCCACGTCGGGGCCATCAAGGTTGAGACCAGAAAATCGGACCTTTTCAAGGTTAAGCAAAAAGACAACGAGGCGCTCAAGGAGTTCGTGTCAACGTTTCTAATGGAACAGATAAATCTGCTTTCGTTTGCGGATGATACATTCACTCAAGGACTTAACCCCCAAAGCTCCTTGGCTTCGCAGCTGCTAAAACAAAATTTGGTAGAATACCCGGCAGTAACTTTGGCCGACGTCCACAACAGGTACCAGTCAAAAATCATAGTCGAGGACAACCAACTCGGAGCCCCTTCTGGGTCCGTTTATCCCATCAGAGCCGACGACACGTCTAAGAGGGCCGTTGATCATGAGCCTATCGGTCCGAGATCGATACCAACCACACAGCGCGGATTGAAGGGCAAATGGGTCCGGGCATCAGCCCACAAGGAATGAAAAGAGAGGCAATCGAGGGCCTTGTAGCCGAGGTCTGATGAGCAAAAATGGTTTCGACAGGACGCTCAGGGGTAGAGAAGCACCAAGATTGTCAGAATATAATTTCAATGTTGATGCGGCCAGCATCGTATCAACCATCGGGCACATCAAGGAAACCAAGTGGCTCCGACCGTTACAGTCTGAACCTACCCAAAGAGATCCTATCTTGATGTGCAAGTATCACGACACTCATGGCCACAGGACCGAGGACTGCCAACAATTGAGAAAAGAAGTTGCCCGGTTGTTCAATAACGGGCACCTCCGAGAATTTTGTAGCGATCGAACCAAAAATAACTTCAGGAACAGGGACGCCAACAAACAGGCCGAACTTGAGGAGCCTCAACACGTCATCAACATGATCATTGGAGGGGTCAATATCCCTCAAGGACCGATGATAAAGCGTACTAAAGTATCTATCACAAGGGAAAAACGTACCCGAGATTATGTCCCAGACGAAACCATCTCGTTCAACGACGAGGAAGCTGAGGGCATCGTGCAACCACACAATGATGTGCTGGTAGTATCCGTAATTATTAATAGATCTCGAGTTAAACGTGTATTGATTGATCCAAGTAGCTTGGCCAACATCATCAGATCGAGGGTCGTAGAGTAGTTGGGGTTCCAAGACCAAATAGTGTCGGCGGTCCGGGTGTTGAACGGATTTAACATGACATGCGAAAACTACCAAAGGGGAGATAACCCTACCAGTGAACACCGACGGGACGAGCCAAGAGACAAAGTTCTACGTCATCGAAGGGGACATGAGGTACAATGCCTTATTTGGAAGGCCATGATTTGACATGAGGGCGGTACCTTCAACCTTACACCAGGCACTGAAGTTCCCTACCACGGGATGAATCAAGACGGTCTATGGAGAGCAGCCTACCACAAAGGAAATGTTTGCAGTCGACGAGGTAATCCCTGTGCCCGCGGTTTTGACATCAAAGAAAAAATAGTCGATCAGAAAGGAAGAAATTAAATAGCAATCATCAATGCCGACCGACCAAACCGGAGGAGCGATGAGTAGACGAGGAGGATGATTACAGAGTTCCGAGGTCATTCATAGCTCCTGACGATACCAACGCCACCAAATCGATGGTCGAGGAGTTAGAGCAAATCATATTGATCGAACACCTACCAGATTGAAAGGTAGACCTAGGCATGGGGTTAACTCCCGAGCTTAGGAAAAAACTAATTGAATTTCTTAAAACTAACATAGATTGTTTCGCTTGGTCCTACCTTGACATGACAGGGATCCTCTCGGAAGTGACCACTCATAAGCTGAGTTTGGACCCAAAGTTCCACCCGGTTAAACAGAAGAGGAGACCATAGTCCAAGGTCAAGCATACATTCATCAAGGACGATGTATCTAAACTCCTTAAAATAGGGTTCATTCCGGATGTTAAATACCCGGGCTGGTTAGCTAACGTAGTGGTAGAGCCTAAAAGAGGAAATAAGCTAAGAATGTGTGTAGATTACAAAGATCTAAACAAGGAATGCCCTAAGGATTTTTTTCCTTTGCCTAACATTGATAGTATGATCGATGTGACGGCCGGACACGAGATACTCAATTTTCTCGATGCCTATTCCGGGTACAATCAAATTCGGATGGACCCGGGCGATCAAGAAAAGACTTATTTTATCATAAAATGCGGCACCTATTGTTATAACGTAATGCCGTTCGAATTAAAGAATACTGGTGCCACCTATCAACCCCTACTAAACTAGATGTTCGAAGAACAGATAGGAAATCAGTGGAAGTTTATATTGACAACATGTTATTTAAGTCCGTGCGAGTAGAGGGCCATTTAAAACATTTGCAGGAAACCTTAGGCATATTGAAGGAATACAATATGAAGCTGAACCTGGAGAAGTGCGCTTTCAGGGTCGGATTGGGAAAGTTCCTTGGGTTCATGGTATCCAATCGAGGGGTCGAGATCAATCCCGACAAAATCAAAGCCATAGAAGACATCACCGTTGTGGACAACATCAAAGCCGTTCAGAGGCTGATCAAGCGTATAGCCGCCTTGAGCCGGTTCATATCGAGGTTCTCGGACAAAAACCATTGTTTCATCTCACTATTGAAGAATAAGAATAACATTTCCCGATCCCAGAATGCTAACAAGGTTTGGAAGAACTCAAACGATATCTATCGAGTCCGCCCTTACTTCACACTCCGAAGGCGGATGGGCAGTTGTACCTTTACTTGGCGGTTTTTGAGGTTGTGGTAAGTGGAGTCTTAGTCCGTGAAGAGGAAGGCATGCAATTTCCTATATACTATGTCAGTAGAACTCTAGGCGAGGCCAAAAAAAGGTATCCTCTCATAGAAAATTAGCGCTAACTTTGCTAAGTGCCTCCAGAAAGTTAAAACCGTACTTTCGATGCCATCACATATGTGTCGTAACCTCTTACCCACTGAGGAACATCATGCACAAACCCGAGCTCTTGGGATGGTTGGCTAAATTAGCCAAAATTAGCGGGTACGATATCGAGTATCGACACCAAATCGCCATAAAATCTCAGATTTTGGCAGACTTCGTGGCCGACTAATGCTGACCTTAATAACTGAAGTCGAAAGGGAATTATTGCTAGCCTTGGGGACTATCTCGGGAATTTAGAACCTTTTTATGGACGGTGCCTCGAAGCAAAGGGGTCCAGGCTCGGCATCATGTTAAAACCACTTACGGGGAATGTAGTTAGGCAGTCTTTTAGAACTGTGAAATTGACTAACATTGAGGCCGAGTATGAGGCCGTAATTGCAAGTCTCAAGTTGGCCAAAAGCCTTGGGACCGAGGTTATCGAAGCTAAGTGTGACTCCGTCCTTGTGGTAAATCAAGTCAATGGGACGTTCGAAGTGAAAGAGGAACGAATGCAAATATATTTAGAGAAATTATAGGTAACGCTGCATAAATTCAAGGAATGGACCCTGCAGTACGTGCCCCGAGATCAGAACGGCGAGGCCGATGCTCTGGCTAACTTGGGGTCATCGGTCAATGTCAATGAATTCGGTTCGGGAACAGCAGTACAACTCATAATAGAAGAAGGCCATGCCGAAGTAAACTCAATGACTTAACTTGGGATTGGAGGAACAAGTGCATAGATTACTTGAAGATCGGTAAATTTCCCTCGGATCCCAAAGAATCGAGAGCCATGCGTACCAAGGCTGCCAGATTTAGCTTGGTTGAAGGGACATTGTTCAGGAGAACTTTCGACAGCCCGCAAGCCAGATGCTTGGGGCGGGAGATACCGAATACGTCTTGAGAGAAGTTCACAAAGGCACTTGCGGGAACCATTCGGGGGCAGATTCTTTGGTCCGGAAATTAATCAGGGCCGGTTATTAGTGGACCAAAATGGAGAATTATGCGAAGAACTTTGTACGAAAATGCGACGACTGTCGAGACACACACCGATGATCCATCAACCGGGAGAGCTACTCCACTCGGTCTTGTGCCCGTGGCCATTTATGAAGTGGGGAATGGATATCGTCGGTACTCTACTGTGGGTACCCGGTAAGGCTCAATTCATACTATTTATGACCGATTATTTTTCCAAATGGGCCGAAGCTCAAGAGTTCAAAAAAGTTCGGGAGAAAAAAGTCATTGACTTCATCTGGGACCAAATAATATGTCGGTTCGGGATACCGGCCGAGGTCGTTTGCGATAATGGGAAACAATTTATCGGTAGGAAGGTAAATAATTTCTTCAAAGATCACAAGATTAAGAAGATACTATCAACACCTTACCACCCTAGTAGGAATGGGCATGCAAAATCAACAAACAAGACCATACTTCAAAACCTGAAAAAGAGGTTGACCGATGCCAAAGGGATGTGGAAGGAAATCCTGCTCAAGGTCCTGTGGGCATACGTATGACCTCGAAGTCTAGTACCGGGGCCACCTCATTTTCATTGGTCTACGGGGCTAGAGCCTTAATACCAATCGAAGTGGGAGAACTGAGCCTCAAGTTCCAATATGCGCCAGAAGAGTCAAATGGCGAAGCCATGATCACGAGCCTAGAACTGTTGGATGAAAGGCGGGAGGCCGCCCTAGTCCGGTTGGCCGCCCAGAAACAGCTAATAGAAAGTACTACAACCGAAGAGCAAACCTATGACACTTTATGATCGGGGACTTGGTATTGAGGAAGGTAATGTTACATCCCCGAAACCCGAACGAGGGGAAGCTGGGACCAAATCGGGAAGGACCGTATCGAGTCGTCGGAATTACCGGCAAAGGCTCGTACAAACTCGAAGTAGGAAATGGTGTGCAACTATCGAAGAACCGGAACGTGACACACTTAAAGCGATACTATTTCTAAAGTATGAACTCAATTACTCTTTAATCATGTTATGAATCAGACTAACATTTGCAGGTAAGCGGCCAAGGATGGATGTGGCTATTAGGTTTGAAAGCACGCGTTGTACTCTTTTTCCCTTGAACTGGTTTTATCCCAAAATGGGTTTTCCGACAAGGTTTTTAATGAGGCAATAGTAAAACGTGCTAACTTAGATTCGAAGACCGGTCTCAACCCGGATTCAATGATCATTCGCTTCATATCAATAGTACCCAAGCCCTCTCAAGCTCGACCTCGAATACTGGGGGCCATTACCCTCGGATTAAGGTTTTTAGCAAGGAAAAAAGAATAACCTTATATGCTAGAAGCTAAGGCTTGGAGGTTAGGATTCATTGTAAGGGCCAAACGATTGTGTGAATCGTGCTCACATAGTCCACTTTAGCCATGATAAAAGTTTTTACGCGCTTTCGATCATGTACTTTACACACCGAGAAATGAAAGAAACTTGTGCCTTGCTATTACGCATTTTCTTTCTTCTTCAATTCCGGATCCAAAGAGCCCACGGGCTACCCATACTCGGGGACTATCGAACCCATAAGCTACCCCTACTCGGGGACTATCGAGCCTAGAAGCTACCTCTACTTGGGGCTATCGAGCCTATAAGCTACCCCTACTCAGGGGATATCGAGCCCATGAGCTACTCCTACTCGGGGACTGTCGCCCGAAGAAAGTTCAGATGATCCGGGCTATCGAATCCCGGAGACACCACACCTATCAGGCGGTGCCCAAATACAAAAGGTTATGGCCATCCTAAAAATGGCTCGGAGACGATCGAAGCTCGTAATCAGAAATTAAGGCCTGTATAAAAACTTGAAACCGTCTAAAAGGTTACCCTCGGAAAAAGCATCATCTAAAATCACTTAAGCATCTTGAAAACTTCCGGTCGCACCGAGGTTTCAAAGCCTCAAGCAAACAAAGTTCTATCGAAGCCGGACTCCGTTCGGACCTCTAAAAAATGAACGCCCCATACCTATATTTGATTCTATGCTAAGACATCAAAACATTACATGAGTAGAATTACAAAAAGATGCTAGAAAAGTAAAGACAGGATATTGCCAAAAGGGAAAATTTCATATATATTCCGGAACATGTTTACAAAGGCCCAATAAAAACGGCCTCAAAATATACACACACACACACATACATAAGGGAAAGCAAAAACTGAAAAATACTAAGGCATATACGCATGGTCTTCAGTGGGGCCTGTCTCACCGCCAGAACCGTCGGAGCCCTCAGATCCCTCGGAGCCCTCGGATCCCTCAGA